ATCTGACAGATTCAAGCCGCTAGCATAAAAGGTAAACCTCGTATACCCTCTTCATCAAAAGTCAAATACAGCAAAAAGTTGCAGCGCTTGAGTATATAATAAAGGGAATTACCATATATATAGCAGAATTAAAAGAAAAAACATTCATTTTATGACATGCACCAGATCCAACGTTCATAAATTAATGTAAACAATGGTCAGGAAAGTAATAAAGATTCATCCAACTAATCAAAGTGCCTATAGTGATAGGGATGTTAGAGTCATAAGTTTTGGGGGTGTATCCAAGTGACAAGCAAATCCGTGACTTCCGTGATAGGAGAATAGCTGTAAAATGCACTAACCAGATAGCGCAAGTAAACGCGCATTGGAGTATAATGACCTACTCCTGGTCACAGCCAAATGGTCCTCAGCGTAAAGCCCTCAGGAACACCAGTGCACCACTCTTGCCGTCTCCTACCACCAGGGGGAGTGATCCTCTTTACAGTAACACGAAATAGCCTTATATCCTCTATCGCCAGGATTGGTGTGCTTTCATATCAGGAGATCATCTCAGGGACTCGGCAATAAGACCCAAAAGAAAGAAATCTTGATAGTGTAGTATTTTTATTCAAAGGGTAAAAGCAAGTAGCACACTTACATGGTAATGTCCAAAAAAGCTGATTCACAGAATCCAAAAAGATGGCCGACAGTCAGATGCATGAACCAAGTGGATAATACGTGGTATGAGAGGTGACCTTATCCCTAACGCGTTTCGTGGCAATGGCACATTATCAAAGGGATAATGTGCCATTGCCACGAAACGCGTTAGAGATAAGGACACCTCTCATACCACGTATTATCCACTTGGTTCATGCATCTGACTGTCGGCCATCTTTTTGGATTCTGTGAATCAGTTTTTTTTGGACATTACCATGTAAGTGTGCTACTTGCTTTTACCCTTTGAATAAAAATACTACACTATCAAGATTTCTTTCTTTTGGGTCTTATTGCCGAGTCCCTGAGATGATCTCCTGATATGAAAGCACACCAATCCTGGCGATAGAGGATATAAGGCTATTTCGTGTTACTGTAAAGAGGATCACTCCCCCTGGTGGTAGGAGACGGCAAGAGTGGTGCACTGGTGTTCCTGAGGGCTTTACGCTGAGGACCATTTGGCTGTGACCAGGAGTAGGTCATTATACTCCAATGCGCGTTTACTTGCGCTATCTGGTTAGTGCATTTTACAGCTATTCTCCTATCACGGAAGTCACGGATTTGCTTGTCACTTGGATACACCCCCAAAACTTATGACTCCAACATCCCTATCACTATAGGCACTTTGATTAGTTGGATGAATCTTTATTACTTTCCTGACCATTGTTTACATTAATTTATGAACATTGGATCTGGTGCATGTCATAAAATGAATGTTTTTTCTTTTAATTCTGCTATATATATGGTAATTCCCTTTATTATATACTCAAGCGCTGCAACTTTTTGCTGTATTTGACTACTGCATAAATTGATGGCGCTATATAAGTATCTGAAATAAATTCCCATTATTAATCTGTTTGCCCCAAATTGGCACTACATGTCCACACTCTCAAGAGTACACTATTTTACTAAATAAGAGTTAGCAAATCATCTAGAGTAGGGACTGGCCAGAGAGGGATCACTTTGACGCAGTTGGTCAGCTGAAACATGTATTACAATACATGCGAACTAAGAATCTCTCATTTTAAAAGCAAGCGGTTTCTATATATAAGAGTTAATAAAATGGTTATACCTCTTTAGTATCTCGTGTTGTATGTATGGCAATTATTTAGGACCTGAACATTAACAAAAAAAAGCTCAAAAGCGATTCAAAAGTGCCTAAACCAATATTAACGCTAGGCGCATTTCGATGCATTCCCAAGTTAAAGTATAACGAAAGGCAAAGCTTTTTTTTTTTTTTAGTTTTGTATAGAGTGGAGAGGGATCAGAATGCCTGTCAGGTTTTTATTGCTGTCTGTGCCCTTGTTAGGGAGATTCACCCTCTCTAGTTACCCAGTTTGCCATTAACATTGAAAGTTAAAGAAAATCCCAAATTTTGGGTTATCCCCAGAAAAGTAATAGAGGGGAATCTCTCGATGGGGACACTAGTTTTAGTGACCTGGGGCTCTCCAAAGAATTCCCTTAATTTTTCAGGAATTTGAAAGGGAAATGAAATCTCTGAAATGACACAGATGGCAAAAAAAAAAATCTGACGGGTTATAACCCTCCCTTGCTCTATCCATCATGGAAAAAAAAGTTTTGCCTATAGTTCTACTTAACTGCATTCTAATGGCCAGACATGGGAACACGCATAAATGATCATGCAAAAATGTGGCTTTTTACCATGTTTTTTGCTGCTGCTAAACTCCTGCAGGAGAAAAAAGTGTCACTAATATACAGTGTGTATGAAAAGTAGATGTTTCACCTTTATGTTGGAGAGGATATGGGGGAAAAGGGGACATTGGTTCACATATGGTGGGATTACCTGAAAATATAGGATTACTGGAAGGGAATATTGCAATATATTCAGGAAATATGTGGGATTACTATACAGAGAGACCCGTGGACTTGTTTATTTTATAAATGTGAACCTTTAGTAAAACTACACAAGAATAGGGTATTATATCAACTAGTCAGTGTGGCTAAGGGCTTGATTCCCAAATTTTGGCTTGCCTCAGACCCACCAAGCATAAATAACTGGGATAACAGAGTGGAAAATATCTATAGGATGGAGGAGTTGTGTCATACCGAGGAGGATAGAATAGAAAAATATAGGAAAATGTGGAGTAGCTGGTTGGTTTTCAAAACATCTAAAAGATATCTGGAACTGGTTGGAATATAGGTGGAAGAGTAACAGAGGGAGTTCTAATGGAGTACCCGACAGAGAGAAGAATATAGGAGGGAAAGCATACAGATATAGATAGACAATCACGAGAACGAATAGAAACTAGGATTGCGGTATGGACTAGGGAAAATGGAGGGAGGTGGGTGGGAGGAAGGGTGGAGTAGGGGATAAGACGATGCAAATGGAATTTATGTACTGGTAAAGTTTTCTCTTTGTTTTTTTTTTTTTTTTATTTATGTGTGCACTTGATGCTCTTTTTGTATTGGGAAAAATTAATAAAAGATATAATAATAAAAAAAATAAGAATACAGTGTGCATGAAGCCTTATATCTACGTTTCCACTGCATGGTGCAGGTCCGTAATTTGAAATGGCAGGGATGCCTGAGGTTGCTCTATTATATTTTAATAATGCTTTATGGTATGGTCACAATGCTGTAACCCCTCCGTAGTATACAGAATATTTTTATATATATATATATATATATATACACACAAAAACACACACAGGCGGATAGTGTATGTATGTAGGTATGTGTACATATATATATATATATATATATATATATATATATATATATATATATATATATATGTGTATATGTGTACATGTGTATATATGTGTATATATATATGTATGTGTACATATATATATGTACATATATATATATATATATATATATATATATATATAAATTTTTTTTTTTGTATACATTAAAACCCAACTTCGAGCACAAGAAGAGAATCAATTTGATGAAGCAAATGCGATACATAAAACAAGAGAATCCATTGTGTGGCATTTGGAGGAAACAAAAATTTGAACGTGTATGTTTTCCATTCCCAGTTACTAAAATTTCCAAAGAATACCAACGCAAATAGTAGAGGTGGGAAGTTGGTTTAGGCTAAAATTTCCCAACTCCCCCCCACCACCAACATTTCATAGGACCTATGCTTAACCCTATCGCTGTCCCCCCAACAGTGATCTCCCCAACACCACCCCTGCGATTGTCATCAGTACCTAACAGTGATTGCACAGCGGATGCCCTCTCCGGAGCCCTTGTTACAGCACTGGTCCTGGCAATTGTCTGCTCAGGCCCCAAATGCTGCATAATTGAGAGACAGGTGATGTGTCTTGTGCTTCACCATACCCAAATATAGCAAGAGAAGTGGTAAAGGTGCATACAAGGGTACCTAAAATCTGTGGGAATTATTTTACTTGGGACAGGTTTCTTCTTTGAAGCTACATTTACAATCATGTAGAGCTTGATAATTAAAACGTAATACAAAGTTTGACATCTATTATGCAGAAAATCCTGGTTCAGGCTCCTTCCAGTGCTAACATGACCAAAAGTCTAGGACAGAGGTGCTCAACCTTTTGAAAAGTGAGGACCATGTAAGTGTTTTTGTAACCAATTGCGGGCCACAATTAAATGGTATTATTCAGAATTTTCTATTTTTTAATAGCATAATGAACATTTTCCCCCTGCAGTTGCTGAACGAACCCGGATTTCAGTGGTTTCAGGAGGAAAATGGAGAGGATCTGTTCCCGTATATCCACTTGCGCTCCAGAAGATTTATCTCCCCCCCCTTCCAGACCAGGCCATTTTTTGCTATTCGGCGCTGCACTATTTCAACTGGTAATTGCGCAGTCATGCAACACTGTACCTAAACAAAATGTATGTCCTTTTTTTCACACAAATAGCGCTATCTTTTGGTGGTATTTGATCACCACTGAGATTTTTATTTTTTGTGATATAAATGAAAAAAGACTGCAAATTTAGAAAAACATTTTCTACTTTCTGTTATAAAAAATATCTAATAAACTCACATATAGTCATAAATTTAGTCCAAAATGTATTCTGCTACATGTCTTTGGTAAAAAAAAAAATCCCAATACGTGTATATTTATTGGTTTGTGTGAAAGTTACAGTGTCTACAAGCTATGGTATATACTGAAATTTATGCAGCTTTTACTTTCTGACTGCCTATCACATTTCTTGAAGTGCTAAAATGTCAGGGCAAAAACCCCAAATAACCCAAGGAATTTGCTGAGAGGCATGTTTTTTTTTTTTGTTTTTGTTTTTTTTTTTTTCACAAAACCAGTTAACCTCCCTGGTGGTATTCCCGAGTGTAGCACGTGGTTAACTTTCAGTACCAAAAGCAGTAATCCCAAGCTACACTCGGGTTTACACTGCAGCATTTCTCAGGCATTCCCTCCATCACGTACCTTGTCCTTTGCTCCCGCAATGTCCCCCCTGCAGCGTCCCCGGCCATCTCCTCCGGCCGATCCCGGCATCTGTCTTCTGGGTTCCGTTTCCTGTGAGCGTCAGGACGTACGGGGACGGAACGGCGCGAAATTAAAACATTTTAAAAGTGACATTCACTCAATACACTAAAATCTGATAGTATTACATTACTGTATCAAAGCATTTCACATACATTTTGTCCCGAATGCTTTGTCCTGTGCCCTGCCTGCATTTTTACTGTTCTTTCTGCCTGGAAACTAAGAAACTTCCAAAAAGCATCCCTTTAAGTCAAAAGCGGTTTTAGACAAGCTAGAGAACAGCGATAGCAATTTAGAACCACTTGCAGAATTGAGTGATAATGATTCGTGGGGAAATTCATCATCAGACACTGAAAATGATTTTGCGACTTTGCTCAGCGATGTGCGAACTTGGCGCTATATTTCAAATTTCAGTGTTTTTGGTTTGATTAGATTATTGAATTAAATTATTATTATAATATTATTTTTTTATGATTATTTATTAAATTATAATTTATGATTTCGTGTTTCAAATTTTATCATACCCGGGATGTTTACTAGACTCTTGTTAGGACAGATTTCAGTGAGTTATTCCTAAAAAATTACAGGCCTACAATAAAAAAAACAACATATTTCCATGCAAAAAAATGTACTGCTTTGAGCACAGAAATATGGACATAATCAGACTGCTAGGGAGGTTAAATGATATCTCACTCACACATGCCATGGGAATATGTGGAATAACATCCCAAAACACATTCTGCTGCTTCTCCCGAGTATGGGGATACCACATGTGAGAGACTTTTTGGCAGCCTAGCTACATACAGATAAATAAAGTAAAGTGCAGCACTGAAAGGATATGGATAATAAATGAAATAAATTAATAAAATAAATTACACATAAAAAGTTTGTTCAGTATATAATCGTCCACTTGACTGAATGTGGTATATGGCACCAAAATAACTTCCACAACAGCAGATATTTCCAAAGCTAGTGACGGAATAAATGGCAAAAATGTGCACTCACCGACTGCACATAGGGTATGCGCATATAAATATATATCTCTCCACCAGATGAGGTATGAACAGCATGCGGATGGTGGGCTTCCTTCAAGGACAGGAGGTCATCAGGCTTGGGTGTAGTAATAATCTGCTGAATCCAGAGGTCTCCTTTAGGATATCTGGGTGTACAGCCTGGATACAGGGCTCCCTCCTCCTTAAGTAAAATGGCCGCCGGACCTCCTCGAGGTCTTGGCGGCGATGACGTCACACGCTGTCAGCTCCTTCTGAGGCCTTTCGTGCTAAGGCGCATCAGAGGGGGAAGCTAACAGCCGTGCGACTGACGTCAAATGTTTAAATAGCGACGACGGCACATGCGCGTTTACTGCACCGCCATTTTTGCAGAGTACTTTGAACTGTGCATGTGCGCTTTCAGAGACGCCATTTTGCCATGGATTGGTTCGATAGTAAGACACACTCAACAGAGTGGTGTTAGAAGTGCCGGCAGCCAGAAGCAGAAAGTGGCACAATCCCCAGGGGGATAATATATAGCGAATATAACATATACATCAGGGAACAATGTTAAAAAGTAAAACTTGGACGAATTCCCGTAACTACAGAAATATATAAAGATCCCTTGGGTGGAAACCATATATGATTTCTAAAAAATAATGTTATTTAAATGATATTATTTATAAAAGGGTCCACGGCATATAAGACGCTCAGAATTGGTAATTTACATTACCGCGCCATCATTTTTTCAAAGCACTCAAAAATGTGCATGCGCGCTTATAGAGACGCCACTTTGCCATGGATCGATAAAACTCAAAAATGCGCTTGCGCGCTTATGGAGATGCCACTTTACTGTGAATCGATGTGATAATAAGGCACAGTTGGCAGAGTGGTGTTACAAATGCTATCAGCTTGAAGCAAAGGATGGCTCAGTACCCAAGGGGAAATATATAGCAGCTGACAGTATATATAACAGGGAGCAATGTCTAAAAAGGAGAGAATACACATAAAACTCCCCCAGCTCAAATTAAAACCACAGGGATGGAAATCATATTATGATCTCTATAGAAATTATGTTATTTAAAATTAGTAATCATCCATGGCATATAAAATGCTCAATCTCAGTAAAATTATATGACATAAATATATAAATTCACATCATAATTACAGAATCAAATCCATGCAAAGGGATATAAAATTACAATGCATAAAATAGAAAACTAGGGAATTCCCTATGAAAGGCTAAAATGTATAATATAAAATAGAATAGAAAAAATATATAAAATTGTAAGATCATATAATATCTTTAGACAGCCCAATTATATCCATATTGATTAAAAAGGTAAGTATTATGTATTCTTTAAAAAACTTGAGTCTAAGAGTTGTACTAATCGCACCTGAAATGGTATATTAGATCTGTATTTTAGTCATATTTAAGACAATAAAAAGCAGGGACTATTAGAAAGTGACTATTTTCAGCGTAGGGTCCCCATTAGTAAACGTACGTGAAGTAAAGCCCTGTAACGGGCATATTAAGAGTGAATAAAACTCCAAGTAAGATAGAAAATACAAATAACTATGGGGTGATATAGAAAGGAGATAAAAATACCCTCGGAATCAGATAAAAAGGGGCATGTAAGTGCAACTACGCAATAATGTACAATAATATAAGCCAAGACCGAGTCAGTTATTAGCAATAAAACAATTGACATCGATCTCAATGTTATGTCCCCGTGGGTGTAAAGTGTCCAGCTCATACACCCAGCTGGTCTTGGCCTGTGACACAACTCTCATTTTATTCATGCCCCTCCAGTGGGTAGAGATGCAGTCAATACCCACAAACTTAAGAGATGTTGTTATGAAATAACTGATAATGGTTAGAGAGGGAATGTTCCCTATATCCCTTCTTAACCTCCTTAGCGGTATTCTCGAGTGTATCTCGGGGTAAAATTTGAGTACAAAAGCAGTAACCCTGAGCTACACTCGGGCTTACCATGCGGCGTTGCTCTGGGCGTCCCTGCAGCACTTACCTTGTCCTTCACTCCCACGATGTGTCCACTGCAGTGTCCCCGGCCATCTCCTCCAGCCGATGCCGGGCATCCAGCTTCCGTGTTCCGGTCCCTGTGACGTCGGGACGTACGGGCGCTGGAACCGGCGGCAAATTTGAAAATTTAAAAAAACGGCCTTTTTTTTCAAAATGACTATTACATAGTAAAACATTGCTGTTTCAATGCATTTCACATAAATTTTGTCCCTACTGCTTTGTCCTGCGCCCTGCCTGCATTTTGACTGTTCTCTCTGCCTGGAAACTTAGAAAAGTCCATGGCGTCCAAAAAGCGTCCCTTTACGTCAAAAGCGGTTTTAGACCAGCTAGAGAACAGCGATAGTAAATAAAAACCACTTGCAGAATTGAGTGATAATGATTCGTGGGGAAATTCGTCATCAGACACTGAAAACGATTTTGCGACTTTGCTCAGCGATGTGCGAATTTGCCTCTGTATTTCAAATTTCAGTGTTTTTGGTTTGATTATATTATTGAATTAAATTTATTATTATTATATTATTATTTTTTATGATTATTTATTAAATTATAATTTATGATTTCGTGTTTCAAATTTTATCTTACCCGGGATGTTTACTAGACTCTTGTTTGGGCAGATTTCAGTGAGTTATTCTTAAAAATTACAGCCTACAATAAAAAAAATACATATTTCCATGCAAAATAATGGTACCGCTTTCAGCACCAAAAATTGGAAATAATCAGACTGCCGAGGAGGTTAATATTAGTTACATGTTCTCATAAACGGTCACGTAATTTTCTTATCTTGCGGCCTATGTATTGTTTTTGACAAGGACATTGTAGCAGGTACACCACATATCTGTTTTCACATGAAATAAACCGTTTGATGTTGTATGATTTTCCTGTAACATATGATTCAAAGGTATCCAACCGATGCTTTCTGATACCATTACATTTGCAAACATTCATAGCCACATACAGGCCTCCAAATTCCAATGACCACCTTCAGGCTTTCAATGGGCATATATTGTCCAACATTCCTAAATAAACACACCTTTGTGAAGTTCGGCCCAAATAGAAGAAATGTTTAAAGAGTTAGTTCACCTTCACAAAAGAACTGCCTATGTAGATAAGGGGTGTCAGTAGATAAAAACAAACTGTGCAGCTCTGACTAAAGCTGAATAATGCCCTTGTTATAGGTGTAGGCCATTTACATACCTCATGAAGCCTGACTGGGATACTCCCAGGACGTTGCTAAGTGGCCTTCAGTTATTTAGAATGACTAAAGTAGGCCATACATGGGTTGAATTGTGAACGATTTTTCGATCGAAAATAGAAAACATCGTTCGTTCTGTAATCTGATGGTGCCACCAATGATTTAGAAAAGCGGTCGTTTTTCACAAATTTTCCAGCCTGACTGAAATACTCCCAGGACGTTGCTAAGTGAGGCCTAGTCATTACTGCTCACCGTCTACAGACGCTCCTTATCTGCATAGGCAGTTTAACTCAATAAAAAACCGTCTTCAGCAATACAGCCAACCCACCTTCCACCACAGAACAGAAGATGCCTCCACCCTTTAACCCCTTCACGCTTAAGGGTAAAACAAGTCTAAATGCCTAAACACAATTCTGCAATGTTGACCTGTGTTAGTAAAACCGTACATATCATCACAACTACTGTGTACATCCAGGTGGATTAAACCGCATTTTTTTCAGGACAAATTGGGCTTTCATTTGGTGGTAAATGGTAATGGATAGATCCTAATTTTTTTTTATTATCAAAGGAAAACTGGCCCAAAATAGTAAAAAAAAAAATCATTTTTTTTATTTAGCTGTGTGTTTCTTGTTTACAACCATAACCTACCTCCATAGAACAACCCAAAATAAATTCTCCAGCTCTTGACGATCGCAGCGATACCACATATGTGTATGTTATTTGTTGTTTGTACCTGTAGTACAGCCCAGAAACAATAGTGCGCATTTTGTTTGTCTTTTTTTTTACCTAAAACACACTGACACTGACATTAACGCTAACTGACACTGATACCAATTTTTTTTTTTTAATCCTGACATTTGACCCTGACTTTTGACCTTGACCTTTGACCCTGACCTTGACCCAGACACTAACCCTGACACTGAACTAGATCAAACCTTGATTTAGGTATTTTTCTTTATTTTTTTCTTTTATTTTTTAATATTTAT